TTGCATACTTTTCGTTAGTCTCTAATAGGGAAGATTCAATTAAAAAAAAAGCTTAACTTGTTTAAAGTCTCAAATCTAAAAAAAAAAAATGGTTTTGGTTTGAAGCGGAAAAATGGTGTATGTGTATGGGAAAAAATGGCACAGCCCTCGATATTCAAAACCTTGCCGTAAAACATGTTGGTGGCGTTATTATTTGGCGATGTATGGCGGCTAGTGGAGTTGGAAATATTGTCTTCAGTATATATTAAAAAAAATGTTACACCAAAGTGCCCCAAAATTGCGACTGGCCTTCTGAAACTTTTGGTTTCAGAAAGACAACGACCCGAAGCATACTGCTCATAATACAAAGCTTTGGTTGTCTTATGAAGTAAAAAATCAACTGAAATCGCCAGCGCAATCCGCAGATCTCGGTCTCATTGAACATCTGTGGGACTTCCTAGAGAGCAGGATCCGACTGCATACCATAACATCGAAGGATATGCTTAAAAGAGTCATCGTTGAAGAATGGACCCAAATAACGGACAAGGATACCAAAAAATTGGTCGAATCCATGAAAACTCGATTGGCGGAAGTAATAAAACTTAAAGGGTATCCAACTTCCTGTCATATTGCGAAAAAAAGGAATTTTTTTTGGTGTTTTTGTTTTGTACGAATATTTTTTCTGACCACAATCAGACTATTTTGTACATTTTGTGTTATATTAAAAACATACATTTAATAAAAATAATTAAAATTTAATAATAATAATTTAAATGTCGTTGCCCATAACAGCTAACCAAACCAATTTTTTGTAATATATCAATCATTTCATTCCTAAGAAATAGGCAATAATAACAAAAAAAAATGAGAAGCTTTTATAGAGCGAAAAACAAAAAATCAAAACAACTCGCATGTACTCATTTTTTAACTTTTCGTCATTTGCACTTATTTTCGCTTTCTCAAGCTTCTTATCAACAATAAACACACAGATTTAACTTGAAATTTCTTCTTAAATTCTTGCTATACTTATATTAAACTAAGATGTGTTTCTTACAAATCGAAGCAGAGTAATTGAATTTAATAAGTAGTGCCTATCTTGTGCTTAAAAATGAAAAAAGAAAATTGCTGAAAATTATATATACAAAAGAACCCTGTTACCTATATGAAAGACTTAGCACGTCAATAAGGACAAGAAACATTATGATATTTAAATACATGTACTTCTGCACAATTCTTTGTATATGCTGTTCGCATTTGAAACCAACTTCCCCAATGCCTTAAGGTAATAAGTGGCTCGAAGCAATTTAAAATCGCACTGGAGGAACATCTACGCACTGCCCAACTACAATAAATTTTTAAACTTTTTAACAGTGGGGATGGATGAACAGACAGAGACCTATAGAAGTTAAATTAAATGATGCTATATTATGTCAGTAATTGTTAGTTCAAAGGTTCAATTATAATTATAACTGTAATTACTCTTAACTTTGACTATATATTCTGAATGTTTAAATGTTAATAACTATTACAATTGTTGTGGCTAACGCCTTAATATATAAGTATTAATATGCTTGTCGCGCTAGGATGGAAAATAGAAAATACAAATACAATACTATAGCCAGAAATTATAAATAGTAGCTGATAGTGGCTGTTCGACACGTACTATTGCTGAAAAGCTTGGCATTAGTCAATCGGTGGTGAAAGAGGCAAAATTTTTTTCCCAAACAGCAAGTCTGAGGCCACCCTAGGTCCATAAACAGACTCAGACGCTAGACCTTTGATGTCGGAAATTAGGAAAAGTAAGTTGAACACACCAAAGGAAGCTTCTATGACCTGTATTTTTTTTTACTAGTACGCAAAGAGTATATTGCGTTTGTGGTAAAAGTGGAAGTGTGTAACACAGAGAAGGAAACGTTTCCGACCCCATACATTATATATGTATATATACTTGATCAGCATAAATATCCGAGTCAATATAGCCATGTCCGTCCGTCTGTCTGTCTTGTTGAGCGCCTAGATCTCAGAGACTATATGAGCTAGGGCAACCAAATTTGGTTTCCAGACTCATGTGATATCACACTGCTACAAGTGTATTTCAAAATTTCGCCCCGCCCCCTTCCGCCCCCACAAAGGGTGAAAATCTGTGGGAGGCACATTTTTTAAGATACGATAAAACTAAAAACGCAGTATCGTTGAGAATGATCATATCTACCAGATTGCCGAATCTGAATCAGATCGGATCATCATTATAGCCAGAATGAAGAAATTAATTTTCTGTTGGTTCTTCCGCCTACTTCAGCCAGAGACCCGCTACCGATCTCTTTCTCGCTCGCACACTCTGCCGCGTTCAGTGCGCGAGCAACCCCTAGCGGAGGAGATGTAGAATCTAAATGAAACATGTAAAATCTACATGTTAGATGAAGAATATACATTGTAGATGTAGATATCAGATGTAGCAAAAAAATCTGAAATGTAAAACTTTTTTTTTTATTCTAAAATTCTAAAAAATCATATGCTCAAAAATGTATATGCTGACTGAGTACGGGTATAAGTAGAGTCACGTCCCCAGAAGCGACTCGCACGTTCCTTCTCGTTTAATTTAAAAATTCTAAAAAATCATAAGGTTATAAAAGTTTATACTGACTGAGTACGGGTATAAGTAGAGTCGCGTCCCCAGAAGCGACTCGCACGTTCCTTCTCGTTTAATTTAAAAATTCTAAAAAATCATAAGGTTAAAAAAGTTTATACTGACTGAGTACGGGTATTAGAAGATTCGCGTCCCCAGAAGCGACTCACACGTTCCTTCTCTTTTGCTTAATGCTTAATTTTCGTTCGCGTGAACCTTTTTTGCATGGTCACAGAAATAGCACATTTTGATGACGCGGCAGCTAATATCGAGTTAAAAGTTGTTTTCGCAAAATTCTTTGTTTGCTTTTTAATATTTCGGTAACGAATAGATATCATTTATCGAAAACGTGCAAAAATGGGTCGTGGAAGGCATTGCTCATTTAAAAAGAGGAAGATTATATTCACACTAAGTGAATCTGGAAAAAAACTGTCTGAAATAACCGAAATAATGAAATGCTCCAGAAAGATGGTGTACAACGCACTCAAATTAGTGAAGTTAAGACCAACTTATTGGAATGGTAAAAAAATCGTAAGAAAAAGCCAAGAAAAACGGATTCAATGACGGATAGGCTCATAGTCTGGAAGAGCAAAGCAGACCCCTTTAAATCATCTCGAGAGATTATTAAATTAAATTAATGATGAATGTGGTACGGATGTGTCAAGGAGACTAGTGGCTAGAAGACTGAACAAAGCATCGCTCTTTGGACGCATCAGCAGGAAGAAGCCACTCCTGTCAAAACGAAACATCAAACTAAGATTGGGTATCGCACGGACCCTCCGGGATAAGAGTCTGAATTATTGGAAAAATTTACCATGGAGCGATGAAACTAAGATAAATAAAGTAGGAACCGATGGAAAAACATTTGTTCGTCGTCTAGAAGGTCAAGCTCTCAACCCCAGGTACACAACGAAGACCGTGAAGCACGGTGGCGGATGCATTATGTGTTGGGGTGCATTTTCCTAGCATGTTGTGGGTCCGCTCTACCGAATCAATGGCATAATGGATCGTTTCATGTATGCTGATATTCTCAAAAATCAAATGGAACCATTTACATTTGAGAATATGCCTGTAAAATGGATATTTCAACACGATAACGACCCAGAGCACACATCTTGCGTCTTTAAAAAGTGGTTGAAGGACGAATCCATCGAAGTTCTGGAGTGGCAGGCTCAAAGCCCTGACCTAAATCCTATAGAAAATCTATGGAATGATGTTAAGGCATGACCTATCCAGAAAAAAATTTGCCAATCTTGACGATTTGTGAACAGGTGTCAAAGAAGCTTGGAACATTCCAAAGGAGAGATGCCAAAAGCTTGTAGAAAGTATGGGACGTAGATGTAACGCCGTTATTGAAAATCGTGGATATTCAACTAATTATTAAATTTGTAAAACAATTATAGCTTTAGAGCTGATTCTCTATGAATTACACTACTCGACAAAATCGCCCTTTTTTTATTCAAGGATCAATTTTTTTTTTTATGAATTATGGTTATGGAAAAACAGCTTTAAGTAACGCATTGATTCGCCTTCCGTATCCAGGGCTTTAACAAAATTTTTCATTAATCCCAGCTTGTGAAAATATAAAGGATACCTGAACAGGTATCCTACCTCGGTTAACGAAAAAAGTATCTGTCAACAACATTTCATACCAAAGGAACGCAATCAGGTACCAAATGTACAACCCTTTTTCGTTTGCTTTGTTCCCAATTGGCAGATGGGCCCGCAACCTTCCAAAAGGTAGTTTCAAAGTTTCTCCATAGATTTTAATGAGCAATACCTTAAACGACGCATAATTAATGTACTTTATACACAAAAAATAGAGGACATAGAATATCATATTTTTTTTTCGACTTTTCCTGAGTTTTTGAAGTCGAAACTTCGTAAAAAATACAGCACAAAAATCATCATTTTTGCATTTCAATGCTTTATATTTCCCAGACGATAAGCTGAAATCATAAACAGTTTTGGTTTAACTTCTAGCTGTTTTAATTATTTTAATTATTAAATATCGTGTCGGGTAGTGTTATTGACAAAATTTTGAAATTGTGCTATTTCTGTGACCACCCATATTTCGTAATTTTTTTTATTTTTATCTCTTTTGTTTACAAAAATGTATACATTTTTCTTTATGAATTAATTAGTTAATCTATGAAGAGCCAATTCCATAAATTGTATGTTTTTTTGTGCTATTTATATGACAACGGCTGTACTTATGACGTTTACAAAGCGTTTCAAACGATTTTACATTCAGGCAGTGTACAAACATGCACGAGATGCTACATGTCGGAAGTACATTGTAAAATGTTACTGGCTTATAGTGTCAATACATATAAATTTATAATTACATATGACTGCTTTTTTATAAATATAACATTACTTCTATTGTCTTTAGGATCACAGCCGTATGCGGAGACTTTTACATTGGAGGGAGACAGTTCATTTCACTGAGTGATCTTGTTGGATACTACACATCATGCAGCGATTTACTTAAGCGCGAACGGTTGGTCATACCAGTAGCACCGCCGGAGCCAGTCAATGATAAGAAGCGTGTTGTAGCGATCTTACCGTATACGAAAATGCCTGAGACCGACGAGCTTAGCTTCCAAAAAGGCGACATTTTCTTTGTTCACAACGATATGGGCGACGGCTGGTTGTGGGTGACTGCTCATCGTACCGGAGAGCAAGGGATGATTTTTAGAGAGCTGGTGGATGATTTGGATGTATCTATCGATCCGAACACTGTATTTCCATGGTTTCATCCCAATTGTACAAAGAATGAAGCGGTCGACGTGTTAGTTAAAGGTATTTATCAATCTTAATTTTCAAATAACCGTTCAGAGAACTTAATGAACAAAATTATGATCATGTATTTATTCTAAAAATTTTTGTATTTGGCTATTTAGCTGGTCCCGGAAGTTTTTTAGTTCGACCCAGCGACAATTCGCCAGGGGACTATTCACTCTTTTTCCACATCAACAACCAGATCCAACGGTTTCGTATTGAGAAAAAAGGAGTGCGGTATTTAATGGGCGGGCGCACGTTTGAATGCCTTGACGCTGTGATTAATCGATATCGCAAGGAGCAAATTGTAGAGGGGCACTCGCTTAACCATCCCGTTGTTAATGGTGCACAAACCGAGTTTAATCAACAATATGTCGTGGAAAAAGCTGCTGAGAAAATCTATGCGACATTACGCGAGTGTCGTGACCAAATAGGCCTCAAAAAAATAAAAGGTATCAAACATCATGGTCATTTGAACAAGAAATCTGACAAATCGACCAAGTGGAAACAACTATACTTTGCTTTGATCAACGATGGCTGTGAAACTCAGCTGTGTTTTTATGACAATCCAAAAAAAACAAAACCCAAAGGCCTCATTGATCTGTCGTGTGCGTACCTTTATCAATGTCATGATTCACTCTGGGAACGCCCCTATTGCTTTCAAATTGTAGAGAGGGCTCTACCTTGTCTGGCCACGGTAACGTATCTATGCGCTCCCAGTCAGGAGAGCTATGTGGAATGGATAAATGCTCTCAAGGCGCAATGTGACTCACAGCTTAGTCGTGCTCAAAAGAAGGTGTCACGTCTCCGCGAACTGCGTTGTCTCAATCTTCATGTGCTGGAGGCACATCGCCTTCCATTCAAACTAGTGCCACACCCATATTGTAGTATCTCACTTAATCAGGTGAAAGTGGGAAAAACTCGTGTCAAGATCGCTCCCGAACCAGTTTGGGAAGAGGAATTCGTGCTAGAGTAAGTCTCAAAAATTAAGTGAAATAATCAAACCTGGGACCATAAATAATGATTACACTACTCAAAACCACTTCGAACCAAATCACGTGATTTTTTTAAAATAGATTTGGGGCTTTAAAAAGTCTTAATAATATATTTTTTTTCTATTAAACCTTTTTTTCATTAAAAAATTATGTCTGCTTTTTTCAGAGAAAGCGTTACTCTTTTTCACATAGCTTAAGTATTTTATACCTGGTTGTAATGTTATATACCATTCGAAAAGCTGATAAATGGACACAAAAAGTGGACCTGAACATTTTGAAGCTTCAACATACCGTCTGGAAAATGTTAAGCTTTTAAATGCAAAATTTATCATTTTTGTGAGGTATTTTTATACCCGTACTCAAAGAGTTAAGGGGTAAATTAAATTTGTGGTAAAAGTGGATGTGTGCAACGCAGAGAAGGAATCGTTTCCGACCCCATAACTGACGAGCAAATCTGTAACACGATATCTGTAGTCTCATTTCAACGGTCTGTATCTTCTGTTCTCTTTTATGCATGCTGAAGATCGTAATCTTGTTTTGTTGGTGATTAAGTCTACTATGTTTTCTGAAAATGTCTTGCCATTTGATACGCCGGAAGAAATTTGCCAAACCAAAATGTAATAAAAGTCAAATGTTACAGTTTTGCACTGTAGCCTATATTTTAAATGAATATTTTTATTGAAATTTTTTTGGTAATGAGTCCACATACCTTTTGATTTTTCGAGTTCCTTAATGCGATTTGGCATACTTTGGGTGTATCCTTGCACAAATTCAGGGGGTATAGAGTACCAAACGTCCTTGGTCCTCTCCCACAGCTCCCTCATTCCAGTTGGAGGGATCGCACATTTCCCCAGCTGCGATTTGACATGGCTCCATAAATTTTCAATTGGGTTCATGTCTGGAGATTGTGGTTGCCACTTCATACATTGAAATTTTGCTTCAATATCCAATTTTTTACCAAAATAGACGTGTGCTTTGGGTCATTGTCTTGCTGAAAAATACATTTTTCGGCAGCAAGACCCATGTTCCCGATCGCATCTGGCAGATTCTGTTGCAGAATGTTTAAATACTGCTCTTTTCGCATTATGCCATCAATTAAAATCAAAGGACCAACTGTATTTTTATGTATACAGCCCCAAACCATGATTGAGCCACAACCGTGCTTAACGGTTTGCCGCACAGTACTTGTGGACTGGATATTGGGATCTCTAGTCCAATACCAGGAGTGTCTGACTCAAAACGATTAATTTTTGTTTTATCTGAACCATATAAACTTATCCCACAGTCCAGTCACCAGTCACCAAAACCAACTTAAAGTCAGCGTCAAGCACGGTGGCAGTTCAATTATGGTTTGGGGGTGTTTTTATAAAAATGGAGTTGGTCCCTTGGTGTTAATTGATGGAATAGTATGAAAGGAACAATATTTAAGCATTCTGCAACAGAATCTTCCAGAATATGGATCTTGGTGGTGAAAAATCCATTTTCAGCTAGAAAATTACCCAAAACACACGTCCCTTTTGGTCAAAATTTGGGTGTCAAGGTTAAAAATTTAAGTCCATGAAGTATCCACCATAATCTCCCGATATAAATCTTATTTTAAAATGTATGGAACCATCTAAAATCGCAGCTGCTGAAATATGCGGTCTCTCCAAGTGCAATGATGGAGTTGTGGGAGAGGAAAAGGATGTTTGGTACGCTATTTAACCTGCAATGGTGAAACTCTACACCCACAAAATTGCAAATCGCATAGGAGAACTAAAAAAATTAAAAGGGCTGTGGACACATTATTAAAAAATTATTAATAAAAATATTTGTTTAAAATATAGCCGCAGTACAAAACTGTAACATTTGACTTTTTTTACATTTTGGTTTCAAATTTTCAAAAAAAACTAGTTAAATGATTCACCAACAAAACATATCTTTAGCATGCATAAAACAGAAGACCAGCTACAGGCCGTTGAAGTGAGAGTACATAATTAGTGTTACAGTTTTGCTCTTCAGTGTATATTCTTGATTACCAGCAATAGCCGAGTCGATACGGCCATGTCTGTCTGTCCGTCCGTCTGTCCGTCCGTCTGTCCGTCTTGTTTGTCGCCTAGATCTTAGAGACTAAATTTTTTTTCCAGACTCATGTGATATCACACTGCTACAAGTGTATTTCAAAAGCTTGCCCCGCTCCACAAAGGACGAAAATCTGTGGAGAATGAGCACATCTACCAGACTGCCGAATCTGAATCAGATCGGATCATAATTATAGCCAGACTGAAGAAGTTCATTTTCAGTTGGTTCCCCCGCCTCCTTTAGCAAGAGACCCGCTCAGTTCAGTGTGCGAACGCCCCCTAGCGGAGGAGATGTAAAATATAAATGGTACATGTAGAATCTATATGTTAGATGTAGAATATACATTGTACATGTAGATTTAGATAACAGATATAGCAAAAAAAAAATGTAAAGTGTACATTTTTTTTTAGTTCTAATATTCTAAATAATCATAAGCTCAAAAATGTATATACTGACTTAGTACGGGTATAATTGGAGTCGCGTCCCCAGAAGCGACTCATTCCTTCTCGTTAATTTTTCTATTAAGAAAAATCATAAAATAAAGCCTAGTACTCGCATCCGAAAAAACAGCTTGCGAACAGAATCAGGGTTGATATTCGTATGAAACCGATTAGAAATTTTTTCGGGCAAAAAATGTTTTCTAGGCTCTTTGCGGAAGACAGTACTCAGATCATCAAAAAAAAGGCGGTAGATACTAGAAAAGTATCTGATGGTATTTACTGGTATTCGTTGGTATGTTGATAGTCCCTCGTAAAAGATATCAATTTTATATCTTCTGCTAGCAAACACGAACGTAAACATAGCAAAATGAGAACAAAAAAGCAAAAATGAAATATTTAAATAATGAAGACAAATAGAATCTAATTACGGCAGCTATATGAATGACAATTATATGGATATTATAATATATATTATTTTTATTAATTTTTCTGAATCTAAAACAATATTGTGTGTAAAACATGTTGTCTTCACGGTGGTCGGCACTTCCCGTGCCGTTTCCATATGCTGCTGCTGCGTTCAGATAGCCTACCGGTTCGATCCAATACAGTAGGTAAAATACAAGGTCTTACAAGCCGTCGATAAAGTCATGTCGTAACATGGGAATAAGGTTATTAGACTCGTTTAAAAACAAACAAACAGTGCATGGCAAATTGAAATCACCAAGAACTATCATATGGTCTTTATCTGATCGCGAGAAAGAAACAGTTTTTTAGCGGCCAGCGGCTGAGAGACAGTTGGAACTAGTAGATCTCGCGGAGTTACCCTTTTGCGCCTAGGAAACGTATTCAGGAGTTTATAACCATAATATAAGCATCAAACTTATGCTTAAAGCCGACGGACAGCTCCCAAAGCCCTTCGGCGTCTTCCTCATGAACATGGCCATGTCCTTTTCAACCACACAAAAACTGAGTATATTATAATTCAAATTTAAAAAATTAAAACTAAATCTTCTATATATGAGCAGTTCCGCCAAAACGTCTACCAGGACAAAAATCATGAAAAGTCAGTTTTTGGTTACGCAGACAAATTATCCGTAGATCATTGTCAGTGGGGCAGCAGTAGAGTAAATTTCTGTTATTGTTCGTCATGTACATATTCATGCTCCCGCACGGCAGCAGCCTATGCAGCCGTTCTCTTTCGCCTCTTCCTCTCGCGCATTTCTTTCTTTCCTTTGCTTTGCCATCGCTCTCTCTATCTCTGGCTCGTATTAGGGCACGGGCTTGCCCGCCTGCCGTCGAAGTCAGTCTTGATCTTGCAATCACTTCTTGCACATCGTCTTGGAATCGAACTATTCAATACGACACCGTCTGGAACCGACCCCCACGTCTTCAATCTGACACCGTCTTGAATCCAGCTAACTATCCCTTCGACTCTGTATCGCCTTAAATACTACACTACAATAAACTGTGAATATATAATACTGAACAGTCATCGTCTCTTTAATAATCTCGCAAAACAACGCTACTGAAGAGGCTCGTTAGCTCAAAAGTCGATAAAAACCGATTTCATTTATAATTTTTCGGGGTTTTCTAAATTTATTAAAAGGTAACTAATTAACCCCATTGACATATAATTTCATTAAGTTTGATGTGAAAAACTAATAAAATAAGCAAAAGTTCACGTTTTTGGTATTTTATAGACATGTTCTTTTACTATTTTCTCCTAGGAAATGTATGATTCCTGATTAAAATTTCTCCTCAGAGTCTTTCGAACATATTGAACTACCTACAAAAATGACCAGAACATTTGTCCAACCTTGGCTAACAGTATATTTTTAACCTTTTATTATCACGGAATTTAATAACGTCACGCCAGTAACGTTCGTCAGATTCCTCCGCCAGCCTATAGAAAAAACAGGGAAGGTTGTCACATTAAATAACTTTGAAACACTACACTACATATTTTATTTACAGACACAACAAATTTGTATACAGAGAGACCTAGACCTATCAATTCGCAGAATTTTGCCATTTTGTACCTCAACCTCTCGAAAATCACTTCTGTCTTATGTAACGCAATTTTGGGTCATATTTTGGCTTATATCTTTAAGACCGCACGCTCGATTATTGCCCTTTTTTTTGTGAATATACAGCTTACCAATTCATATTCAACAAATATAATATTTTTTCCAAATTTTGCCATATTGACTATTTTTATCATCATTATACCCGTACTCAAAAAACAGTTAAATACAAAATGTGGTAAAAGTGGATGTGTGCGCCTAGATCTCAGAGACTATAAGAGCTAGAGTAACCAAATTTTGTTTCCAGACTCATGTGATATCACACTGCTACAAGTGTATTTCAAAATTTCGCCCCGCCCCCTTCCATCCCCACAAAGGACGAAAATCTGTGGCAGGCACAATTTTAAAGATACGATAAAACGCAGTATCTTAAAAAATGACCATATCTACCA